TATACACGTACACAGCTATGCCACTCACTCCAGCAACATCCAATTCACCCTTTCTTTCTTTCTTTCTTTCTTTCTTTCTTTCTTTCTTTCTTTCTTTCTTTCCAGGAGTTCCCCTACCCCATTAAGCCCCTCACACTTACTTAGGAGATAACGAATCCCAATCACTGGTTGTGCTATAAGACTTTCACCCTAATAGGCCACCCTCAATAGGATAGGCCTCTCATGCCTCCGCTTCAGATATCCTGTCTGATTTTGAGCATAAGCCAAATCAGAGAAAGGCTTGCGTGGGTGGAGAGAACTTTAGACACACTATTGGTCCAGTAGATACTGTGTTGATATGACTTCTTTTCTTTATAACAATGAGTAGGAAAGAGTGCAAAACTCAGCAATGTACCAGAAAGCATTTCAGCATTTCCATGTCAGTATTTAATTCATTGTCCAACCAAGTAAAGTGCCAAGTATGATGTAAATAAATTAAATCTGGCTTCATAGTTTAGGAAATATCATATATAAGATGCAATGTACCCCAGGCAATCCATCTATAAAGTTCCATGCCTGTGTTGATAAACTTAGGTTTTTCTCTCAATTTCCCAGGTGTAGAGTTAACAATGATTTATGATAGCATTGACTTTCAAAGACAAAGACTCATATACAGTGGTACCTCTGGTTGCACACGGGATCCGTTCCAGAGCTCTGGTCGGATCCCGAGGTGTGCGTATCCGGAGATACCGCTTCTGCACATGCGTGCAGTTTAACGCTTCTACACGCGCGCGCACACACACACACACACACACACTGGAGGTGAACATAAGTAGAGGTACCGCTGTACTGAGCAACTATCCAAAATGAAACGTACACTTAAATGTGTTTAAGCCCACTGAAATTGATGGACAAGCATACCTAACTGAATTGGATTGTGCTTGAAATGACTATGATTCAAATTGTAAGAATATTAAGATATGCACTGAAATGAACATGAGATATTACACACACACAGCATGCAGAATCACAGGACTGCTTCCATTTTCAGTGATCATTCTATTCAAACATTTATTGTTATCTTAGTACATTTGTGTAGCCAAGGAGAGACTGTTGGCATAGAGAAAGTATTGTGTGATCTAGCCCTGTATTGAATAGAAAGTTGACAGAATTCTGCACCCCCCAAAAGGTGTCCCTGTTCATTTGAAATATTCACTGATGGTTCTTAGGTAACAGTGTTTGTTTATTGAAGTTTTTTATTTACTAAGAAAAATACATATACAGTATTCAGATAGATTTCTTTAAAAATGGAACATATTGAAACCTCCTGTTATCTTGACTTTATTTAGGCTAGCAAAAATAAACTAGATGTGTAAATAAAAATACAGAGGGTCAAAAGGCATCTCATGGTTGAACTTTGAAATCTTAGCCTCTAACTTAACTGTAGTATGATTAAATACTGTAGAATAGTTTGACTAGTGAAAATATCTGTTCAGCCCAACTTCAGAGCAAATTTAGATTTCTGATAACATTTTAATAAATTTTATCTTTACAGGATATTTTATTACCCACATGTAGAACATGATAATTTTTCTCTGTGTTTAGCTTGTTGTTTTACTTGTACAAGACAGGCTCTCAAAGACACTTTCTGAGATTCAGCTGGACAGTTGCATTTTCCAGCTCAGTACAGCCTGCCAACCTCATGCTCCATTTGTGTTTTTACAGATTGTGGGCTGCTCATTGCAGAAAGATACAGCTGAAAAAGGGTAAGCATCTTTACATTCTACTTTATGTCCAGAAATTCTCAGATGGTGTTTCTTTTAAATAACAATAATACTGAACAACCTGGGAAACCAGAGCATACAAATCCCTCTTCCAGGGAATCCTTGTAAACAAGCGTTCTCCCTTTCACACATGGCAGTTTCCTGTCTCTCAGGGCTTCCCAGTTGATTTCAGGGAAGCAAACTGTATCCCCCCCTAGTAAGGAATGTGTGCATAGGAACATGAGTCCTGGTGAGCAGGAAGATTTATATGTCTATTACAGGTGGGGTGCTGAATTGCAAAGAAGAGGCAGGCTTCAAAGATAGTTTGAGAGAGATGAAAAAGTATAAGATGCTGTCTTGTTAATTGTGACTTCTCTATATGTACATGTGTTCTATCTCTGTAGGCTTTTGATTCTAAAAATAAAATTGTGGCTTTGTCATCTAGATTTGCATTATCTGTTATGCTGCAAATACGCTGTGAAATAGACATGTTTGCAGTATTATGTTAATTTACAAGCATGGAAATGCTTTCTCTGTAATACATTCATAACGGTGTAACCTTAATACATTGTAAAGTAATGAGGCCAAGACAAGTAAACTCGGTTAAAGTCCTAGGTTCATTTTACAGTACATTCATCTGTTCCAACTTGAAACTGTTTAAGTATTATACCTACGATTTTCAGAGGATCTTTTCTATCAAATGCCATTTTCTTAAATTTGTCTTAAAGTTATTTTTTTTATTCAGATGGGTCATCTAATCATGTTTACAACTACCAGCCATGTGATCACCCACGTCAGCCTTGTGACAGCTCATGTCCCTGTGTAATTGCTCAAAATTTCTGTGAGAAGTTCTGTCAGTGCAGTTCAGAATGTAAGTCATTTTGGAAATGGTATATTGTATGAGAGTCAATGCTTCAATGAGTTGGTGGAATTTAAAAGCTCTGGAAAGTTTCATGTCTTGTAGGGATGGAAGTGTTCGGACCAAACTAGATGCAGTGTTCCTCACCAAATACGTTAGGGGTTTGCAGATGGTGAAAAGTTTAAAGGGCTCTGCCCCAGGAAGTTCTGAGAGAGCAATTTTGCTATGACTATTTTCAAATTTGACTTTTGTCTACATCTTTTTTTTTGGCATGTTAAAGAAAGTTATTGTTGCTATATGAGAAATGAAGATAGCTCCAGCTACGTACAGGCAACTCCCATTTGCATGTGTTCAAGGCACGCACAACCACCGACATGTGCACTGTTTTCGGATCCGGAAGGGGGCGGGCTGACACACACAGTGCCTCAGAATACAACCCCCACGCCAATGGGGAGTTGCCTGTAGATGATTGCCTATTTGAAAATACTGTCTGCCACTTCAAAGATTTATCAGGTCTCATGTTGCATGAAATAAATTTACTAGTGTGAAAATAAATTTATTTTAATGTACTAAGCATATCAAATTGAACCTTAAATGACATTTGTAACTTTTCAGATGAACAAAATTCAGGTACAGGGCAGGTCTGTTCCATGCAAAATACAATGTTGGCCAAGCTGCTCATTCTTCCTGCTTTGTTCTTCTTAAAGGCCAAAACAGGTTTCCCGGATGCCGCTGCAAAGCTCAGTGCAACACGAAGCAGTGTCCTTGCTACTTGGCTGTGCGTGAGTGTGATCCAGACCTTTGCTTGACATGTGGAGCAGCAGATCACTGGGACAGCAAAAATGTGTCTTGCAAGAACTGCAGCATTCAGCGAGGATCCAAAAAGGTGCTTCCACTTTTTATTCTAATCCCCAACAACTCAGGAAAACGCCTCCCATGTATAAAAGCAAGTTCTTTCTTGGCCAACAGTTTGGAATATGGTTTCGACTTAAACCAAATTGTATAGCACCACGTAGATTCCTTTAGAACTTTCACATTGGCTGTTTCTAATTTTTTGATCCCAAGGGTGATTAACGCTTGTAATTCGTTTCATGGGATGCTGGAAACGGTGGATTGGGTATTTCCTCTCACATGACCTACGGCAGGAGCAGAGACTTGTGGGAGGCAGGCACTTCCTCCTCAGTTTTTTCTCCTGCCTGACTCAGTAGTATGTTTCGCCTGGCTCTCCTGCTTCTTTAGATAAGTTTTTCAATTTGGATCTCATTTTATTGTTGCTTTATTTTATCTAATCTTCCTTAGTTTTAGCAACTTAATATTTTTTAGAATATATATCTTCCAAAAAATATTTTGTCCCTCCCTGCCACCATTTTTTCCCTTTAGCAACCTTAGTTCTTCTCGTTTTTAGTTTATTTAGTTTACTTTCTTGCAGAGCATCCTTGTATACTGCTCTCCTACAGGGTCGCTGAATATGCTTGTTTTTTGCACACTGTGGCTCCGTTTTGCCGTGTGCCATTTTACAGATCAGATTTAAAGATAAGTTGGGGGGGGGCGGAATCCTACCTGAGGTTTTTTGCAATTGCATCTCACTTTCAGTGGCCGCTGGCTCCATATCACCACCTCATTTCTTTGGTGATTTCTACAGCCTTTAGCCATTATTTTCTGTATCATTTCAGGCTTCATATTGACTGCTCTGCTAGTCCATGGTACAGCAGAAGGAGTAGGGGTTATTGTTCCTCAGCAGTATATTCTCCTCCCGGTTCGCAGTTGTGGTGACGGAGTGAGCAGGCACTGATAGATTGCTTCTGAACCTCCTAGTTAAGGAGTGATTCATTCAGTCACTCATTATTATTCTTTACGCTTATTATTCTGTGACTTGCGGTCTATTTCCTCCTAGTCCACTTGTGACAGCATTGGAGAGACGTATATTTTTCCTTTTCCCATAGTCCACTTTTGTGGCATTGGAAGTGAACGCTACTCAGTCTGCCCTGTGTGGCTGCGTGCAGAACAACTTCATTTGTTTCCATTTATTGATTTATTATGGAGCCTATACAAGGAGCCCCTGAACCTCATCCCAAAAAGGCTAAACAAAAGCTTAAACACGTCCTACCCTCTAAGGCAGTGTTTCCCAACCTTTTTTGGGCAAAGGCACACTTGTTTCATGAAAAAAATCTCGAGGCACACCACCATTAGCAAATGTTTAAAAAATTAACTCTTTGCCTATATTGACTATATATAAAGTAACTCTCTTTAATAGGATTCAAATAAACACAAAGAAAGTATTTTATAATTACTTTATTATGAAATAGTAAGTAAACAGAAATATGAAAAATTATAAAATACTTGATTCAGTGCGCAACCTGGGCCTGTTTGGCTGAACACAAAGCTGATATTCTGGCTGGAATCGAAGAAAGACACGCACATAGCTCTTTGTCAACAGCTCTCAGTCTCTCTCTGTATTTAGTTTTTATAGCAATCATGCTTGAAAAGCTCAACTCACAGAGATATGTAGTGGAAAATGGGAGCAATGTCAAAATAGCTTTGTTTGCCAGAAGGGGGAACTCCTTGGCAGTTTCCAACCAAAAACTGTCCAAAGGTAGATCAGCAAATCTTAGCTTGAAGCCACGATTTTGTCTCAGTTCAGCTAGTTCCTCCTGCTCCTGTAAAGTCATGTCCTTTCCACCAACTGATGCTGAGCTATAAGGGTGTAGAAATGAAAAATCATGGGAGACGAGAGAGGCAGGTGTAGCTAGGCGTCTGTCAGGGCGGACCCTGAGAGCCTATTTTATTGAATATTGCAAGCATTGCCACAGGTGGGCCTGTGGCTGATTGGTTGATACATACACACAGAAACTTGTGATTGGTTAACATAAGTACTAAGGCGGGAATTACATGTGAAAGGTGGGGATTACATGTGATCATTTATCATTGATGGAGAGAAGGCTGAGAATCGGAGTTAGAACTAGACAGGTATGAAGCCTCCTAATTGAATTGTAACTAGGGATTAATTGGCACAAACAATATAACAATCGGGTTCTATAGTTATGGTCAGCTAGGCATGGAGAGCAAGTACAGTTTGTTTTCCATGAGCTTGGGATGTCTGTTACTTAATGATTGATCATAGCATGTAACAATGTAATCAGGTTCTGTAGTCAGCTAGGCGTGAAGAGCAGGTTCGCACAGTGTGTGCAAAAAGCAGGGAAAAACCTAGAGCAAGACTTCTCAGAAAGCAAGAGAAAAAGAGGAGCAAAACTTCCCCAAAATGGAGCAGTTTTATGCAGAAAGAGACTAACAGTTATGTGCAGAAAGAAGACTTCCCTTTATCTCCCCCTTTCTTTTCTTGTTTGCGAGGCATTCTGGGTAAATAAGGCAAAAATATTTCAGGATTAGTGGTGTGCCAACAAATGCCCAAAATAAGTTCGCCAGGGTCGATGGGACAAAAATATTTCGGGATACGTGGTTTGCCGACGCATGCCCAAAATAAGCCCGTCCACATCTCACCTTAGTTTACTGTTGGTGTTGCCATTTCGCAAAGTAGGCGGCGAGAAGTTTATTAGGTGGTTGAGGGGGAGAGAGAAGCCGAGAGAAAAGGCTTATGAGGCCAGGAACGCATTGAAGGAAGCAACATAACAAAATTAAGATGCATATAATGACAAGGGCATATTGAAAGAGATTACGAAGCCAAGTAAGGTTAGGTAGCCAAGCAGTAAGCCACTGGGTGAAAGAACCCCAGAGGCCAGAAAATCCGAACGTCTTGTTTAATGTGGTGTGTAAGATTTTGCAAATGAGAGATCTGCTTTTGGATGGCTTTGGAATTATCAGTAATATTAAAACAGCACATGTTGTCCACTTGTTCACAGCCATAAAGATGAAGCATCAATAGATAATCAATAGCACAATTTTGTAAAAGTCCATTATGTAGTCCACTCTGTTCTTTATTCAAAAGGTGAAGAGCTTCTGAAGTAAAATTCAGGGCTTTTTCTGCAGAACAAGCTAAAGAATTAACGTTCATACGATTCCGTACAGCCAATCCAGGGACTCCTAAGAGAAAAACAGCTAAAGAGATATATTCAGACCTACTGAGAAGAGAGACAAAAGCATCACAATCGTTAGTCAATTTCACAGAGCGGCGATATCAAGAGCAGGATAAATGATGCTTCTTGGGTAAAATGATGGACAAACGGCTTAAACAGCAAGGTGTGCCATGGCTGATGTTTGCTGGAATGTAATTAAACGTATAGCCAGGACACAACCAGAAGAGTTCCAGTTGAGGGGAAGTGCAAGCTTGCTCATTAAATTGAATGGTAGCTTGTAATTGTTGGAATAAATCTCTTCCCCACAGGTTAAGGTGGATTTTCAGCACACAGGGCTGGATGTATGCAATGGTTTCAGAACTATCAGGCAGAGAAACAGGCAGCCACTGTAGAAATATCTGCGCCTGTGTCAATCAAGCCTTCCAGAACTTTTCCATTGATTTTATACTTACGAAGAAGTTTCTGATGACCAATCCGCTGGATAACAGCTAAAAGCTGTGGAGGGAAAAAAGAAAGCTCGTGCAAATTAATATCCATAATGGAAGCAGTAGGATGAGAAGGGAGCACCACCAAATGCGCCCAAGACTCACCCTTTTTTAATTGCATGGGCATATGGCTCCAAAACTGAACCATTATTGTGCCTACATAGTCAGGATCCAGAACGCCAGGAATAACCTGGATTCCTTCTTTTGCCGCAGAAAATTTGGGTAAAATTAAGCCTGCGACTTTAGGAGGTAATTGGGTGGTCATAAGCACAATTTCATCAGGTAAAACAGTGTCTTTGGTTTTTTGATTAATTAAGTCGATGGTAAAATCAGAGCGTGTATCCTTTGAGATGGTTTTAATAGTGGAGACTAACGGCGGGGGGGGGGGGGCTCCCTATTTGTCCTGGCCCGGGAGTGGGGCCCCTAAGGAGTTTCCCGAACTCCTGCACTGATTTGCCCAATGATAGCCTTTACCGCACTTTGGGCATTTCTTGGAAGGTTTAGCCTTATTGGCATCACCATTCCTGTGCGCCCCACCGCCAGGTGCTCTGCATTCTTTTGCAAAATGACCTGGGCGATTGCAGTTGAAGCAGTTGCTATTCCATCCAGCATTCCTGTCACATAAGTGGATTTTAAACTGCAATCAGCAATGGCCCTTCTCAATTCTCTCGTTACAGAATAGGGAAGGGTTTCATATAGCACCTGTTGTTGCACTGTGCCTGGGTTTGCATAAGAAATAGGGAAAGCAGATGGCAACACCCCAGCCCACTCAGACTCTTCCTCTAAGGATAGGAGCCCTTTCTGCCTTGCCTGAGAAAATGCAACACAGACAGCTCCCGTGAAACAGGCAGGAGCTGAGGCAGGCAAGGGAGGGGTGGAAGGAGGGAGGGAAGAAAGTGGGGGAGAAGAAAGAGGGGGGGAAGTGGATGTTGGCTGAGACACAGCTTCTGAAGAAGCAGGTGCAGGCAAAGGAAACACAGGAGGGAGGGAAGGGGGAATGGGTGTGGGCTGAGGCATAGCTCCTGTAGAAGCAGACGCAGGTGGGGGGGAAGGGGGGATGGATTGGGTGGAAGCAGGGGAAGGAGGGAGGGATTGGCAGGATTGTGCAGGAGGCAAAAGCTTGGGGTAAGGAGGGGGATTGTCTGCAATAGTTAGAAGTGCAGGAGCCGTGGGAGACGCCTGAGGGGCCAGGGGCCCTAATTTTGCAACGGCATCTGCACATATCTGCCAAGTAAGCAGACAATGAATAGGAGCCCTGGGTTCTGCAAAAAAAGTTTTTCCAATCTTTTGCCAAGCCTCTACCCCAAGGAGCCCGCCTCAGGGTACCAGGGACATTGAAATGCAATTTCACATAACAAACGTTCAATTTCCTTTAAAGAAACATGAGCACCTGCACCTCTTTGTCTGACTAAATGAAGCAGTTCAGTAGCATGCACTTTCTGGGACTTTGTAAGCTCCCCCCCCATACTCACGGTGTAGCCGGCTAAGACTTCTCCAGTCGAGTGAAGTATGAGGCTGGCTGACTGCTCGGCTGCGCAAGGGATCTGGCACGTCGGGGTCACCAGATGTAGAAATGAAAAATCATGGGAGACGAGAGAGGCAGGTGTAGCTAGGCGTCTGTCAGGGCGGACCCTGAGAGCCTATTTTATTGAATATTGCAAGCATTGCCACAGGTGGGCCTGTGGCTGATTGGTTGATACATACACACAGAAACTTGTGATTGGTTAACATAAGTACTAAGGCGGGAATTACATGTGAAAGGTGGGGATTACATGTGATCATTTATCATTGATGGAGAGAAGGCTGAGAATCGGAGTTAGAACTAGACAGGTATGAAGCCTCCTAATTGAATTGTAACTAGGGATTAATTGGCACAAACAATATAACAATCGGGTTCTATAGTTATGGTCAGCTAGGCATGGAGAGCAAGTACAGTTTGTTTTCCATGAGCTTGGGATGTCTGTTACTTAATGATTGATCATAGCATGTAACAATGTAATCAGGTTCTGTAGTCAGCTAGGCGTGAAGAGCAGGTTCGCACAGTGTGTGCAAAAAGCAGGGAAAAACCTAGAGCAAGACTTCTCAGAAAGCAAGAGAAAAAGAGGAGCAAAACTTCCCCAAAATGGAGCAGTTTTATGCAGAAAGAGACTAACAGTTATGTGCAGAAAGAAGACTTCCCTTTAGGTTTTTCCCTGCTTTTTGCACACACTGTGCGAACCTGCTCTTCACGCCTAGCTAACCCAGTCAAGGCATTCAGTGGAGACTGAAGAGAAATAAAATGACAACTTCCCCTCGAGAGTTTTTAAATGTTTAGCTATTATCTCACACAGTGCAGCAGTGTGAACACCTTGCCATTGCTTGGTGAGTGTGAACATTTCAAGATTGCCACTTTCCACGTGTTGATGCCAGAGTTGCAGCTTTGCACGGAATCCATTTATTTTATCTGTACTTGTAAGCAGGTTTTCATTTCGGCCTTGCATTCGTGTGTTCAGTTCATTCAGATGATGAAATATATCTGCCAGGTATGCCAGCCTTGCACACCACTCATCACTTGCAAGCAGTTTTGCGTAATCTGCCCTCTCATCTGTCAGAAACACTTTAAGTTCCTCCCGCAGCTCATACACACGAACCAAGACCTTGCCACGCGACAACCACCGGACCTCCGTATGAAACAGCAAGGTTTTATGCTTCGCTCCCATCTCCTCACACAAAGCTGCAAATATGCGACTTTTCACGGGTCGTGACTTTACAAAGTTTACCATGCGCACAACATCATCCAACACATGAACTAGGTCTGCTGGTAAAGTCTTGGCTACGAGGGCCTCGCGGTGCAAAAAACAATGCGTAACAATAACATTTGGATTTCTTTCCTTCACTCTGCTTACAAAGCCTTTGGTGTGCCCGACCATGGCTGCAGCTCCATCGGTGCAGACACTTATGCAGTTTTCCCACTTAAGTCCTCCTTGTTCAAGGTATTCTGATGTGACCCGAAAAATTTCTTCTCCTGTTGCTTTTTCTGGCAATGCCTTGCAGAAAAAGAAGTTTTCTCTAATTGCATCACCATCAACAAAACGCACATTGGCCAAGAGTTGAGCATGTCCACTGATATCTTTCAATATGATTTTTATTGATATATATATAAAAAAAAAAAATTCATAAATTTTTCCATTCATCATTTTCACATCACATATTCGATCCATTTTCCTTCAACTCTTTTTTAAACATATTCGATATCTGATGATAGTGCAGCCAATCATATACATGTTCTTTTACCTGCTCATATGGCTTTACTTTCCAATTCTCCCCTTCTTTCATCACCAACTCTCCATAAGTAATCCAATTGCTTCTCATATTAATTTTCTTTACTCCTATAGCCTCTAGTGGGGATAACCAATGAGGTACACCCCTTTCCAATATGTTTTTATATCTATCCCATACCTCAATTAACGATTTCGAAATATATGATTTTCAAATGATTTGTGACCTTTCTTCTTGAGCATGTCCACTGATATCAGTAGACTCGTCCAGTTGTAATGCAAATTTCTCACTGCTATGGATCTTTTCCAAAACCACACTTTCAATGTCTGCAGACATGTCATCAATACGTCTGGAAATTGTGTTGTTTGAGAGAGGTACTTTGGCTATTTCCTTAGCTGCTTCAGGTCCGAGCATCTCCTCTACAATAGCTTTGCAGGCGGGAAGTATTAATGTCTCTGCCACAGTGTGCGACTTTTTTGTCTTGGCTATAAGTTCAGCAACATGATAGCTAGCTTTAAGAGCTCTTTCATTTACCTTTGAGGTTTGTCTCATGAAAGTTGCCTGTTTCTCCGTGTTTTCACGCAGGCGAACAAAATAGTCCACATTCTTGTTTTGAAGCGAAGGGTGTTTCGTTTGGAGGTTCCCTTAATTGGAAAAAGCAGGGAGGCAGGCTGCTTAATGCCTGCTGAAGGGAATCCCGAAGGCGCGATCGCGCACGCGCAGGCCCAGTAGCGAGCGGCGATGGGATGTGGTAGCAGCGGCGGCACACGAAGTCCCCCAGGCAGCGGAGCAGCTCGCCCGTCGAAGCCTGCACGATCACCCGCCGCGGGGAGCCGGGGGCGGCGGCGCGGTTGCCGGGCAGCGGGGGGTGGTGGTGGCGGTGGCTGCTTGCCGCCCTCCTGGGCGGAGGCGGGCACGGTGGGCACCGGCACGGCCAAGGGCCCCTGCTTGGTGCCGTCGGATGTGGGAGCTCGCTCGCTCGCCGCCCCGCGTGTGCTCGCCGAGCATGCGCAGGCCCAGTAGCGAGCGGCGATAGGATGTAGCGAGCGGCGATGGGGCTAGCCGGAGAGGGCGAGCCCCCTCCGCTCCGGCCCTAAAAAGGGCAAGTCACGCCCCCTCCAGCCAGCCGATTGCCTGGCCAGGAGGTGTGGCCGGATGGGATTCCCCTGCTCTCGCGGGGGCTGAGATGGGATTCCCCGCTCACGTGGGGGCGGATGGGATTCCCCGCTCACGTGGGGAAGGGCGTGATGCCCGCAACCCCACCTCCTGGGGCAGGCCCAGTAGCGAGCGGATGCGCAGGCCCAGTAGCGAGCGGCGATGGGATGTGGGAGCTCGCTCGCTCGCCGCACCGCGTGTGCTCGCCACCGCCGCCCCGCCTCTCACTGCCCGACTCGCCCGCCTCCACGGAACACAAGGCAAAGTTCCACGGCACACTACTGTGCCGCGGAACACCGGTTGGGAAACACTGCTCTAAGGGAAATAGGCGCAATGAAGCTTCTACTACTTCTGTTGCCCCAAGAAAAAATATTTCGACTGCAGTTTTATTGCAAGCTAATGAGCCTGGCCCTCCACAGACTCCAGTTCATAGGAATCAGTCTGTGTGTGTTGCTGTTGATTCTGCTCTTCCACCCTATGTTACTGGAAGGGAAGTTATAGAAGATATATCTGATTCTGAACCAGAAATGTTAGGATTCACGGATGACCAGGGTGCAAAAGGGTCTTTAACATCACTCTCAGACCAGGCCAGCTTCCTCAGCTCCCATCTTTCCATTCACTCTAATTGAACAGTTGAAACGGGCACCGATTGCTTCATTATCAGAGGATTTACAGTTTAACATACAACCTAAAAAATCTACCTCTGTGGTTAAAAAGGTGACCTCCTCTCAACGTGTGGCTAAATCAAGGGGGGGGGCCTCTGTGCCCAATCCATTTACTTCTATGGGGGAGGATTTATCTGATGCTGAGGATGTAGCACTTTCTTCCCAAATATCTTTTCTAGAGTCAGAAATTGAGGCGGAGTGGATTGATAGTTCTGTCTTTCCACTATGCTTAGGAGCATAGTTCACTTCAGTTTCCTTAGCTAGAGGGATTAGGGTGTGCATTTTCTTAGTTTATGATACTATGAAATTGCCCCACCCATCTCATATTTTGCTCAGTCCTCTGGGTCAGCCTCGACTTCTGCTGCCTTTATGGCTGATGCCACTTTAATAGAGAGTTGTAGGGCAGCCACTTGGTCTCCTCCTTCCACTTTCACTAGGCATTGTCAGTTAAACTAAATGTCTTCAGCTCAGGCAGCTTTTGGCCGTGTATACCAAGTTTGGTAATCAGTGTGTCAGCCGTGTGGACCCACCCAGTTATTGGGAAGTGCTGTGGTATGTCCCAATCCACTCTTCCCAGCGTCCCATGAAATAAATAGAACAATTGGCTTACCTGAAGTGTAGATTTGTGAAATGGGGATGCTGGGGACAGTGGAATCATCCCTGTGATGGGGTTTTTTTCCTATAAGAGGGGTACTCAGTTGCTGCTCTATTTATTGATTTATGAGCCGGGAAGGGAGGCAGGCTGCTATTCTTTCAGGTGCTTCGGTGAACATTGCTGCTTGGCAAATCCAAAAAACTGAGGAAGTGCCTGCCTCCCACAAGTCTTTGCTCCTGCCTGAGGTCATGTGAGAGGAAATACCCAATCCACTCTCCTCACTGTCCCTATTTCACAAATCTACACTTCAGGTAAACCAGTCTTTCCTTTTAACTGCTTAATGATGACAACAGCAAGTGGGGATTTGTACAGACACCACGACTTGTGATTGTAGGTTCATGCATGTGTGAACTGCTTCCGTGCAAAAACCACCTGCACTCTAATAAGGATTGGTCCATAATACCGCCAAATATGGGTTAACTACCCCCCCAATCCTAGGCCACCTTTGAAGAATTTGTTCATGATAGCTTAAGTAGCTCAGCTTGCATGTAATGCTAAGCCCCAAACCATGATGTTGCACACAGAGGCAAGGATGCAGGTTCCTTATCCAGCGATCACGTAGCAGCACTCCTCTCCCAGACCTGCTGCTCCCTGGCTTCTTGGGGCTAAGCTATGGTTTAGTGTTGTTTGAACTTGGGCTCATGGTTTGTCTTGTTCTAGACATACCATGAGAAGCCAGCAAGGTTTGTTCTTACAACTTGAGGTTTCTGGGGAAGACAAATCGCAAGCTTGGGTTCAGTTGTAATGCTAATAATAATAATAATAATAATAATAATAATTTTTTTTTATTTATATCCCGCCCTCCCCAGCCGAAGCTGGGCTCAGGGCGGCTAACAACAATCAAGCCATAAGACAAGCCATAGTTTAGCCCCAGGCAGAATGGCCTGGGAGTGGGCTGCTGCTGCTGCTGCTGCTGCTGCTGCTGCAATCCTTGCTCCAGGAACCCACAAATGTGTTTGTTCACACTAAGCTGTGGTTTGTCTTATTGTTATGTGTGAACTGGGCCATTCTTGTAGCAGGCAGGAAACTGGGGGGAGGGGAGCATTCAAGAACTGGCTTTGTACTTGCTGTTGAATTCCTGCTCCCATCAGCCCCAGCCACTGGGGTCAGGACTGGTGGGAGCTGCAGCCCCACGTCAGGAGAGTCACAGATTCCCTGCTCTAGGGATTGCTACATTAATTTCAACAGAAATTAGCAGATTCAGAATTCTTGTGAACAGGTAGTTCTAAAGTAACATAACTACCAAGAAGACTGCTACCTAATCTTTCATTTGTCACTTGCAAAGCCCTTCCTATATCCCAATACTGAACTTCCCTCTTGCTTGCTTTCCCACTTGTGGCAGCGCTAGAGAGATCTCTACAGCAGAGATGCACAGCTCAAAAAACTTCTAAGTTCCGTTCATTATTTAATGTCTGAAAAGTGGCCACACGCTTTTTAAATAATAATTTTATGTATTTAAATAAAACCAGGATTAGAGGTTATGGCAATATAATTCACATATTATTAATCTCCAGATACTGATTTTGGTGGGAAAATAAACTACATGACAGTAGAGCTGTGAACACACACACAGCAGCAGAGGTGAACTAGTTTTATAAAATAAATGCTATACACTGCTAGAAGAATGGTCTACGGCAGTGTTTCCCAACTGGTGTTCCGCGGCACACTAGTGTGCCGCGAGACCTTGCCTGGTGTGCCGTGGGAGGGAGGCGGGCGAGTCGGGCGGCGAGAGGCGGGGCGGCGAGAGGCGGGGCGGCGGCGGCGAGGATCCGCGTCGAGCCGGGGGCGGCTCCGCGGTGGCGGTGCCGAGGTTTCTCTCTCCATTCTCCCCTCACACACACACACAGGAAATAACACAGGATCAGCTGACAGGACCTGGCCAATGGGGCGGCGGCGGGGCAGCGCGCGCAAAAGGGAGGAGCGCGAGACAGCGGACGAGGAGGAGGCCGGCATGTCCGGGCAGCAGCAGCAACAACAGCAGCAGCAACTCCCGGCGACAGCTCCTCAAGCCCCGGGCAACCCTACTCCCTCACCGGCCTCGGCCGCCCTCCTGCTCCACCTGCCGCCGCCTCCCCCGCCGGCCACCTCGGCCCGCCGCCGCCCCTCCTCCGCCCGCTATCGCCACCACCACAACCGCCGCCTCAGCTGGGCCCATGCCTGCCGGGAGCGGCGGCGGCAGCAGCAGCGCCCCGGCGCCCTTCCCTCACGGCGGCGCCCCGGCCCTGAACGAGCAGGAGAAGGAGCTCAAGCGGCGCCTCAAGCGGCTCTACCCGGCTGTGGACGAGCAGGAGGAGGAGTTGGAGGAGTCCCTCAGTCCCTCGCTTTGCTGCCTCCTCCCCCCCCCACCCCCAAAGCTTGGAGGTT